GGGCACCTGTAGTCCCAGCTACTTGGGAGGCTGAGGCAAGAGAATCACTTAAGCCCAAGAGTTTCAGGTTGCTGTGAGCTGTGATGCCCCGGCACTCTACCTACAGCGACAGCTTGAGACTCTGTCTCAAAAAAAAAAAAAAAATTCTAGTGAGGGGGTGATTTCCTTTTTTCTAATTAGACATTTTTATGAAAAGGAAAGTCTTGTGTGTGTGGGGGGGTCTCACACTTGGACTTAGAACTCTCCAAATTCAGTTACCAGCTGCATCCATGTGTCTCTCCTGTCTACTGACTTCCTTTTGCAAGACTGTGGGGCCCTTCAATCTCAGGGCTGCCATGTAAAGAAGATTATTTTTCTAAATGACAGCTTTCAGGGAAATGCATTTGTGCAATGGTTATAATAATGTCTTCCTAATGTCCTTGTCACAGCCAAGGACAGTCCCAAGTCTGCAGTCCTAGGCTGCACAGAATAATAGTCTTGAGGGCTGGAAGGCTCCTATAGCCATTTTGCACATGTGCCCATTAAAGCCCAGAGAACTTGGGTCTGTCCTGTTACCTGGACTGGAAGCTGTTTCTCCTGACTCCTATTTCCTGCAGCAGTGAGGGATGGGGGTTAGGGAGGTGCTGGGCAGAGTGGAGATTGAGATATGCCTTCCTTAACCATAGCAGAGACTTTGGGTTTATGTCCTAATGACATCTCTTTACCCAGAGACACTTAGTTAAAGGCAGGAGTACTAAAGATCACAGTAACCAGTCTAGTTTCACATGTAGGAAATGCCATGGTTCTTTTGGAGTATTGTTTCTCTGAGAATAATAGTAGCAGACCTGGTTGGAGGCTTTCAGGCTGTGATGCGTGGGACAAGGTGTGTGCTAAGTCTTTACGTGTGCTCTAGGTGTTCGCAGTCACACTATATCCTGAGGCTTCCGGCTCCTCGCCCTCCTGGGCTGGTCCATGTGACTTAAATGAAAGCTGGGACTAGAATAACAACAAGGAAAAAAATGAAAAAAAAATCTCCGCATATTCTCTAAGTTCTGCTGGTTTTTTTTTTCTTTTCTTTTGAGACAGAGTCTCACTTTGTCACCCTCAGTAGAGTGCTGTGGCATCACAGCTCACAGCAACCTCCAACTCCTGGGCTTAGGCGATGCTCCTGCCTTAGCCTCCCAAGTAGCTGGGACTACAGGCACCTGCCACAACGCCCGGCTATTTTTTTGTTGTTATTGCAGTTTGGTTGGGGCCGAGTTTGAACCTGCCACCCTTGGTATATGGGGCTGGCACCCTCCTCACTGAGCCACAGGCTCCCCTCAGTTCTGTTTTCAGAAGCACATTTGTCATTATGAAATTGATTCTCATCTCTTAAGGTATCTATAGTAAAAAGAGGAGAATTTCACCTTTAAGATAAATTACTTTGTAATACTAGGCATATTTCTATAGCTAAAAATGCCTTTGCAATTCAATTACGAATGCTGTCTTCCTAAATTAATTCCCACAGAATTAATAATTTTTATTTTTTCAGTAATGAACGGCTCTAAGAGAAACATGTAACATGTAAAACGCTTGGCCACACTCTATTATTGTGTGGTGACAATAGGAAATGTCATCCAACAGTTGAAAAGAAGTCCTCTGGTTGTGCCTAAGATACCCATGTGACTACTTTAAGGGATGTAGGATGACTAAAATCTATGGTGGCTCATTGTGTGTACAGGTAAAAGGGTTTGCAGGCACGTGATACCATGTAAGGCCTCATGGTGTATATGTCTAATATTTGCTTAATGGTTGAACTTTAAACAGCTTGTATTACACAAAAGCATTTTACTTCCAGAGGCATTTGAAATGATTTTGTTTTGTGGGATATTTTTTCCTGTTTGTCGATTTTCTATTAATTAGTAGCTTTGAATGAGCTGAGTGGCATTGAGATTGATTTCCTCTTAATTCCCCGCACCAGCCCCCAGGAGGCTCAACACCTTTTTCTTGGGGCTTGGATGACAGATGAAGCCATGAAGACAGGCCCTCCTTTGAATTAGACATCCTTCGTGGTGTCTTGGGACAGGCAGATGGAAGGGAAGCCTTTGTTATGAAAAGCAGTGTGCCGTCTGTGGGGTGGGGGAGGCCAGCTCCCTTCTGCGGAGAGCTGTCTCCTAATAGGAAACATTTTCCAGCTCTGAGAATTTTGAGAATTGTCCTGTATGTAGATGAGTAAAATTGTAAATCACTTGATGTAAATTTCTAGTTTTATCATAACCAGACCTGTCTTTTGCCTGAGGTTGGAAAATAAATGACACTTTGGGGGTTTCCCACATGAATTATTTGTGTCTCTTAGCATTTCTCATAGGGGTGTGTTGTATACCCGTATAGTGTTACAGGCTGATAATGTCAGTTTTTCAAGGTAGAATTGTGTCCCTGGAATGTAAATCACAGTCAGAACCAGCCCAAGACCAATTGCTTTGTTCAGCTTTTAATTAACTAGGTTGTTTGTGGTTGGTTTTTTTTTTTTTTTTTTTGAGGCAGAGTCCTACTGTGTTGCCCTTGGTAGAGTGCTGTGGCATCCTGGCCCACAGCAACCTCAAACTCTTGGGCTTAAGCGATTCTCTTGCCTCAGCCTCCCAAGCAGCTGGGACTACAGGCACCTGCCACATGCCCAGCTATTTTTTGGTTGCAGTTGTCATTATTGTTTAAGCAGGCCTGGGCTGGGTTCAAACCCACCTGCCTCCGTGCACGTGGCCAGCACAGTAACCACTTGTGCTACGGACACTGAGCTAGGTTGTGTTTTTGTTTTGTTTTTATTTTGAGATAGGGTCTTCCTCTGTTCCCCAGACTAGAATGCAGTAGTACTCTTGAACCCAAGCAATCCTTCTCCCTGAGACTCCCAAAGAGCTAGGACTCTAAGTACATGCTACCACACCTGGATAATTTTCCTTTTTTTTGTAGAGACAGGGTATTGCTATGTTGCGCAGGCTGATCTCAAAGTACTGGCCTCAGCTTCCTAACTTGCTAGATTACAGGTATGAGCCCCCATTCTGAGCCTGATTTTTTTTTTTTTTTTTTTTGAGACAGAGCCTCAAGCTGTCCCCCTGGGCAGAGTGCCGAGGCATTACAGCTCACAGCAACCTCCAACTCCTGGG